AAATGGTTCTAAACCTTTCTGAGTTTCTTTATCCTGTTTAAGATATTTCCGGTAACCATTGACTTCCATAGTAGGAAAAATAAATGCAATGGAAGTCAATGGTTACAGGTTTTCCAGCATTCTTTAAATTGTCGACAAAAATGCTGACTATTTAGACTATAATAAAATAAAACATGTCAAATCAGTGTGTTTTTCATTATTAATTTAATTAATTTCAGATGTTTACATTTGGAAAAGCTGAGCTACCTGTATAAATCATGTTTAAAATGTGTTTATATATCTACTGTGTTTATATATACTGCATTTTCTATATAGTACTAGTCAAAAGTGTGCACACACGGATGGGGAGGTGTTCTTTTGACTTGTGCTGTACTACAATATGCATATATTGACTAGTACTACATATAATATAGTAGCCCTAACCTAACCATAACCCTAACCTTAACCATCTTAAGTATTTTTTTTATCTCCATGATATCAGTATCCGCATTGGCCCCCAAAAACATTGGTCGGGCTCTACTATTTACTCTGCCTCAAGTGGCTCCAAATGAGTTTCTTCATTCTGTTTAAGATATTTCCGGTAACCATTGACTTCCATAGTAGGAAAAATAAATAAAACGAAACTCAATGGTTACAGGTTTTCCAGCATTCCTTAAATTATTCTCAGATTTTTCAATTTCTGTTCCATTGAACATATTCTGTTAAAGATATTTCCAGTAACCATTGACTTACATAGTCGGAAAAACAAAACAATGGAGGTCAATGGTTACAGGTTTTCCAACATTCTTCATTTTTGTGTGAACTATCCTCTAATAGTTGAACTTAAAAGAGTCACTGTTTCTTTTAAAGATCAGTTCAGTTTTATATGGAAAGACAGAACTGCTATTAAGATTGGCTTATTTAAAGCTTTTTTCAGTTTTTTTTTACATTTTTTTGTTGTCATGATCCTAAGACAAAGTACCAGAAGAGATCACAATGATTTCATCATAATGGCATATACAATGCTTCCTTAATTACACTGTAATCAGAAAGACGACCAAAGTGAATGAACTAATGACACCACGAATACAAAGTCAGTCACTTTGTAAGTAAATAATCAGGAAAAACGTCACTTATAAAAAGCTTTACGCTTCTTATCAAAGTAAGTGCATGAAAAGCTTCCTGGGGAATCACTAATTTCACCTAAAACAGAGATGTAGTTAAGACAGACAGAAATTGAAATAGTCATTTCAATTACAAACCAGTAAATAAATAAATAAATAAATGGCACAAATATAAGCAAGCGTTTTAAAAAAGTCCTACAATCACTGCTGAGAAAACAATCATTCATGTCAAACACATTCACCCCACAACAACACGCCGCTAGAAGCTACTCCTAAAATCAGCTTCACTTAAAGGAACATGTCACTTATTTAGTCTCATTTTAGAGCTCGTCTAGAGTTAAACAGCTGAATTTGACCATCTTTGAATCCATTCAGCCGATCTCCTGGTCTGGCAAGAGCGCTTTTAGCTTAGCTTCCCATAGATCATTAAATCAGATTAGACCATTAGCATCTCGTTCAAAAATGACCAAAGAGTTTTGCTAATTTTCCTATTTAAAGCTGGACCCTTCTGTAGTTACATTGTGTGCTTAGATTGATGGAAAAAGAAAAGCTGCTAGTTTCTAGGTCAATATGGCAAAACTCAAGTCATTTTTGAGCGAGATGCTAACGGTCTAATCTGATTCAATGCACTATGCTAGGCTAAGCTAATAGTGAGACTTTGAGATTGGCTGAATGAATTCAAAAATCGTAAAACTTAAACTAAAGGAGCTGTAAAATGAGCCTATTTCAAAATGTCCAGGAACTATACTCTCATTCTGCCATATTAATCAAGGAACTTTACTGAAGTACCATGACTTTAGAAGGATCTATGATATTACACAGCACAGAAAAATAGTCCTGAATTTTCAGTCAGTCTTAGCGTACCATGTAACAATAGAAGAGTCAAGCTCTAATTAGGAAAATGAACAAAACTTTTGTTATTTTTGCACGAGATGCTAACGGTCTAATCCGATTCAATAAACTATGCTAAGCTTGTTTCGATATGTCCTGCCTCTATAATGTTTTTTCTGGCGTAATAATCAAGGAACTTTACTAAAGTACCCTAAAATAAAAATTAAAAAAAACTTTCATTCATGTGCAAAATAAAGACAAATTAATATAGTGGACAATCTCAGACAATTCCATTCATGCTTTTTCAATCTCCACATATGGATGAAAAACTATTTTTGAGTGCGATGCTAACGGTCTAATCCGATTCAATGAACTATGCTAAGCTAAGCTAATAGCGCGACTCTGAGATCGGCTGAATGGATTAAAAAACAGTAAAACTCAACAGTTTTACGCTAAAGGAGCTGAAAAATGAGCTTGTTTCGATATGTCCTGGAACTATACTCTTATTCTGGTGTAATAATCAAGGAACTTTACTGGAATACCCTGACTTCAGCAGACTAGTCAAGCGGTAAATAGGAAAACGATAAAAAATCTTGTTATTTGTGAGCGAGATGCTAACGGTCTAATCTGATTCAATAAACTATGCTAAGCTAAGCTAAAAGTGAGACCCAGAGATTGGCTGAATGAATTCAAAACCAGTAAAACTCGACTGTTTTCCTCTAGAGGAGCTGTAAAATTAGCCTGTTTCCAAGAATAAAGTGGAGTGTTCCTTTAAAAAAAATCATAAAAAATAAACAAACTTGTTATTTTATTTTAAAAACATAAAAAATGAGCTTGTTTCGATATGTCCTGCCTCTATACTGTTTTTCTGGCGTAATAATCAAGGAACTTTAGTGAAGTACCCTGACTTCAGCAGACTAGTTAAATGATAAATAGGTCAACGATCAAAATTCTTGTTATTTGTAAGAGAGATGCTAATGGTCTAATCTGATTCAACAAACTATGCTAAGCTAAGCTAATAGTGAGACTTTGAGATTAGCTAAATGGATTCAAAACCAGTAGAACCCAACTGTTTTCCTCTAGAGGAGCTGTAAAATTAGCCTGTTTCCAAGAATAAAGTGGAGTGTTCGTTAAAAAAAAAACAATCATATAAAATAAAAACTTTCATTCATGTGCAAAATAAAGACAAATAATTATAGTGGACAATCTCAGACAATTCCATTCATGCTTTTTCAATCTCCACAAATGGATGAAAAACTATTTTTGAGTGCGATGCTAACGGTCTAATCCGATTCAATAAACTATGCTAAGCTAAGCTAATAGTGCGACTCTGAGATCGGCTGAATGGATTAAAAAAACAGTAAAACTCAACAGTTTTACGCTAAAGGAGCTGAAAAATGAGCTTGTTTCGATATGTCCTGGAACTATACTCTTATTCTGGTGTAATAATCAAGGAACTTTACTGGAATACCATGACTTCAGCAGACTAGTCAAGCGGTAAATAGGAAAACAATCAAAAATCTTGTTATTTGTGAGCGAGATGCTAACGGTTTAATCTGATTCAATAAACTATGCTAAGCTAAGCTAAAAGTGAGACCCAGAGATTGGCTGAATGAATTCAAAACCAGTAAAACTCGACTGTTTTCCTCTAGAGGAGCTGTAAAATTAGCCTGTTTCCAAGAATAAAGTGGAGTGTTCCTTTAAAAAAAATCATAAAAAATAAACAAACTTGTTATTTTATTTTAAAAACATAAAAAATGAGCTTGTTTCGATATGTCCTGCCTCTATAATGTTTTTCTGGCGTAATAATCAAGGAACTTTACTGAAGTACCCTGACTTCAGCAGACTAGTTAAATGATAAATAGGTCAACGATCAAAAATCTTGTTATTTGTGAGCGAGATGCAAACGGTCTAATCTGATTCAACAAACTATGCTAAGCTAAGCTTATAGTGAGACTTTGAGATTAGCTGAATGGATTCAAAACCAGTAGAACCCAACTGTTTTCCTCTAGAGGAGCTGTAAAATTAGCACGTTTCCAAGAATAAAGTGGAGTGTTCGTAAAAAAAAAAACAATCATATAAAATAAAAATAAAAAAAACTTTCATTCATGTGCAAAATAAAGACAAATAAATATAGTGGACAATCTCAGACAATTCCATTCATGCTTTTTCAATCTCCACAAATGGATGAAAAACTATTTTTGAATGCGATGCTAACGGTCTAATCCGATTCAATGAACTATGCTAAGCTAAGCTAATAGTGAGACTTTGAGATTGGCTGAATGGATTCAAAAACGTTAAAACTCGACTGTTCTACTCTAGAGGAGCTGTAAGAATGGCCAAAAAACAATAATCATTAAAAACAAACGTTCACTCGTGCAAAATAAAGGCAAATAAATTAAAAAGGACAATCCCAGAAGGTTTTCCAATTGCAAAAAACATTACCCCATCAGTCTGGTTTCTACGTAACGGCTGAAGTGCTTTTTTTCTGAATTGAGTGGCGAGCAGGTCTCAGATCAGCTTCCTGAAGGCTGGCCGAGCTCGTCCTCATCCTCGTCCTCTGTGCTGGGCTCAGCGGCGGCTCCGGCTGCAGGGCTGGATGCTGTGAGGACGGAGGCCGCTGTGGATGAGCTCACGCCGTTGGATGTGCTGATGGAGCTGTGCTGGATGGCCTCGTTCTGGGGGCTGCTGGGAACAGACATCTCTCCACAGCTGTCCTCTTTATCCAGTGCTGGAACACACAGAATAAATGTGCATTTTATTTATGTGATGTCTGATGTAATTTGAACTGAACAATAAAAAGAGGGCGGGGCATTGAGTGGCTCCTCCCCTTTAAAAACAGCCAATAGTGTTTTGTTTTATCACAGCTCTGCCAGTGAGAGTAGTTGAGCTCCAGAGCATCCAAATTAAAAGCAATTAAAAAGAAGGGGGCGGGGCATGTCAGACACTAGAGAGCATTTGATTGGTTTAGAAGATTTGACTTTTGGAGGTGACGTGAAAAAAAACGTTGCTCTATTTAAGAGGAAGTGACAAGCTTTACATGTTTATATCAGTTTTATATCTTCCAAATGCAAATTTTAAGCACACATTTTGGAGCACACTAGCTTATAGATATTCTTAAGAATAACATTATTTAAATTGTTTCATTGTAGTTGTTTATAAATAAAACTTAAATAAATGTAAATGTTAAATAAAAAGATAATGTATAGACGAATGTGTGTAAATAAACAAAAGATTATGCATGCTTTTAAAACTGCATGACAATGTTTGTATGCATTGTTCGTATGCTAAGCACAGTATGAAAATATTCACCACCCAAAATGAACAAGAAAATTTGTTTAAAAAAGATAGTACAACAAAATCAGTTGTAAATATGTGCCTCAGATTAAAATACTTTGCTTCAGGTACGTTTTATTGCATGCTTCAGGTGGAAAATCTACTAGAGGGCACTGTCTACATTTTTGTAAACCTGAAATGAGCTACTTAGGGTTTGCTTTAGATACACGCCTTTCTTGTTTTCACGTCCAAGAGAAGGCAGAGCTTGTCGTACAGATCCCCAAGTGGACTACTGGGCCACACCATTCCTTAAACCCAACCAATAGTGCTTTCAGAAGCAGATGCAAGAGAAAAATGCACATCGACTACATAGATTTACCTTGATTTTACATTACTTTAATTTAAAAAAAAATGTTGATCCGTAAGTGACTACTACAAGCTTTAAATGTTTGCACAGTTTTATATCTTCTAAATGTGAATTTTGTCACTGTTTTGGGGCACACTAACTTATAGATATTCTTAAGAAAAACATACTGATAGTGACATTATTAACATTATTTACTTTTTTATTGTAGATTTTTTTTTTGTTTAAAAAACTTAAATACGTTTAAATGTTAAATAAAAACGTAAATAAAAAGATAATGTATAGATGAATGTGTGTAAATAAACAAAAGATTATGCATGTGTTTACAAAAGCATGAAAATGTTTGTATGCATTGTTCGTATGCTATGCACTATGAAAATGTTCAGCGCTTGAGTCACCACCCAAAATTAACCAGAAAACTATTTTTATTTATTTATTTTTTTTTTAAAGTAAATCAATCTAGTCTTATTGCAAATATGTGCCTCAGATTAAAATGTGCTGCTTCAACAGGTTTTGTTGCACATTTCAGGTGACAAATCCACAAGAAGGCGCTGTCGACATTTTCAGGTCTGAAGTGCACTACTTAACGTACGCTTTGTAGAGCAATTCAGATACACGTCCTTCTTGTACACATCCAGGAGAAGGTGGAGCTTGTCATACAGATCAGCTAGCAAACCACTGAGCTAAACCCAGCCAATAGTGTTTTCATACGCAGACGTGTATTGCAGACACATAACACTTTATTAGGTACACCTGTCCAACTGCTCGTTAATGCAAATTTCTAATCAGCCAATCGCATGGCAGCAACTCAATGCATTTAGGCATGTAGACATGGTCAAGACGATCTGCTGCAGTTCAAACCAAGCAATGGGGAAGAAAGGGGATTTAAGTTGGGTCAGAATTTGGCGTCAACAACATGAAAGCATGGATCCATCCTGCCTTGTATCAACGTTTCAGGCTGCTGGTGGTGGTGTAATGATGTGGGGGAGATTTTCTTGGCACATTTTGGGTCCATTAATACCAATTGAGCATCAACACCACAGCCTACCTGAGTATTGCTGCTGACCATGTCCATCCCTTTATGAGCACAGTGTCTCCATCTTCTGATGGCTTCTTCCAGCAGGATAACGCAGCATGTCATAAAGCGTGAATCATCTCAGACTGGTTTCTTGAACATGACAATGAGTTCACTGTGCTCAAATGGCCTCCACAGTCACCAGAGCTCAATCCAATAGAGCACCTTTGGGATGTGGTGGAACAGGAGATTGGCATCATGGATGTGCAGCCGACAAATCTGCAGCAACTGTGTGATGCTATCATGTCAATATGGAGCAAAATCTCTGAGGAATATTTCCAGTAGCTTGTTGAATCTCTGCCACGTAAGATGAAGTTCTGTAGGCAAAAGGGGGTCCAACCCGGTACTAGTTAGGTGTACCTAATAAAGTGGCAAGCCAGAGAGTGTATATTCTTATATCATCTCATTTAAGATGGAAAGCTGCATCATTACCCACACGTCACAAGATCTTTCAAAAAGATCCTTATCATTCTTTCATGTTATTTGGATTTTTGCAAGCATAACGCCACAAAATCCTGTCTCCGAAGATCCCAGACACAAACGAGACACTCAACCAGTGTGAGGACTGTATAAAGAAGACATCTCCAGAGCTGAAATGTGTGACACATGCACAGTACAACCACTAATTTGGTATTCTAGATGTGAGAGGGCAACCCTGAGTCGTGTCATTTACAACACGTCTTCCAAATGATGAAAAGAAAATGAAGAAGACAATCTGCTCTCTATCCGCTGTCCGTTGTAGCGGGTCGTCATCTGTTCCAGTGTGTTGCTTTTATTGCTTTATTATATAGAAATTATTTTGGCCTAAACAAATGTGTGGTAAAAATCTGTTATCATGAGATCCCTAGTCAGCAACAAATGGCTTCACATTTGAATTACAGCATTCCTGTTTATGACGATGGCAGCTGCTCCGCTTTTACATTTCCCCAAAGACTGGATACACAAAGATGGTTCACTCGTATTACTATGAATGCGGAAAGCGTAGTGTGGCCAACACAGCGAAGGAAGTCCAATGTTTCAGTCAGAATAGGCAATCATCAATCTTTATAGCCTGGCGGTTCTTTAGGGTAGAGGCTCTGTACAGATTGGCTGGTTGATTACGGTATTCCTAGTTACTACTGCATCCCTGCACTGTTAATGCCTAGAGAAAGGACATCACATCCCATCATACATCACATGGCTTTCCAGTGTCATCTTCTATTCTTCTTGCAGGTTTTGTCTCTGTTGTTTAGGTTTTTGTAGCCATGTCCTCTTTCATTCATTCATTCATTCATTTTCCTGTTGGCTTAGTCCCTTAATTAATCCGGGGTCGCCACAGCGGAATGAACCACCAACTTATCCAGCAAGTTTTTACGCAGCGGATGCCCTTCTAGCTGCAACCCATCTCTGGGAAACATCCACACACACACACACTCATACACACACTCTCATACACTATGGACAATTTAGCCTACCCAATTCACCTGTACCGCATGTCTTTGGACTGTGGGGGAAACCGGAGCACCCGGAGGAAACCCACGCGAACGCAGGGAGAACATGCAAACTCCACACGGAAACGCCAACTTAGCTGAGGCTCGAACCAGCGACCTTCTTGCCGTGAGGCGACAGCACTACCTACTGCACCACTGCTTCACCCACCATGTCCTCTTGTTACCCTATAAACCACCATAATCAGGACTGGTGTTGTGAAATACTTGCCAATCTTTATGAATGCACTCGAGCAAACTGTAATGTTTAAATTCAATCAGAGCTCAAGCAACACAATGAATGGGACTGGTCACCTCAGATTTTGTTGCTGATTTGATGTTTAATCTAATTGTGAGTTCAGTGAGCTCGTTAGACAGGACTTGGTGTTAGATGACCTGTCCGGAGGGGTTGCAAATATAGCCACCCAGTGAACAGACTTCTCTTGAAAAGGACTTCAATTTCCCCTCTTTAAAGCACGGGACACCGAAAGCTGAGGCCAAAGAATTAGTGCAGACAATTATTAACTGTGTTGTTGCCTCACTTCTGCTGCATCTGGTCCTGTCTCCACCAAAAAGCTGCATGTGGACAAAACAACTGGACAGGAGATGACTGTAGGGGTCAGTAGTCTGTTTTCTTATTCCACAAACGGAAACCGGAACTTGTGATGCACACATATAAACCATAAACAAAGCAGCGTTTAGTATTATTTTCACAGCACTTGACACTGCCCAGGGGGATTCCTTCGTGCATATCATATGTCTGATAATTTAATAATCCATATTAGTTGCAAATATTTGAGAAAAAACAGCAGTGTTCCCTTCTGACTTAGAGTTGCTTAGTTTCGTCACTTCGGTTTTTGCTGAATAACCAATCAAAGGACTCTTCAGCTGATGGCTGACACCCATTCTACATGCTGATTTGGGCCAATTTGCTCCAATGTTAACCTAACAAGGGGCAACATGTTAAACACACCAAACAAACTAGCCAGACACACACACACACACACATAAGTGGCCTGACGCTGCCTAATTGCCAACCTTTAGTTTAGTGTATCTTGGCCTTAAGATTTACCCCCATCTTTGCCTTAGCCTCAACTGACTGTATTCACCACTGACCGCTCGAGTTTTGGTGATGACATCTACAATCAAGCACTAACTAGCTATACAAACCAACCAAATGCTAACCCCCTGCTGGGAAGAAATAACTTTAAATCCCCCCTCTTAACGTTTGCATCCATCCTTGCCTTAGCTTCATCTTACCTATATTCGCCACTGAATTACTACTGTTGAGCTGTAGTGATGACATCTAAGATCAGGCAATAACTACCGATACTAACCAGCCAATAGTTGACCACCTGCTGGGAAAAATGACTTTAAATCCCCCCTCTAAGGTTTGCAGTCATCCTTGCCTTAGATTCATCTGACCCAAACTCGCCATTGACTAACTGCTCTTGAGCAGTAGTGATGACATCTACCATCAGGCACTAACTACCTATACTAACCACCCAAATGTTGACCCTTGCTGGGGAGAAATGACTTTAAATTCTACC